GTATACCATTCGACGCGCCTGATATAGCAAAACACGATGCTGACAAAATCGTGGATCTGCGACCATTTTGAGCGAAGTTATTCACCAAAAACCGAACCGGTCTTGCGCCTCTTGACCTGACCTCAGAGGTCACCAGTTAATCTCAGGCCTTAAAATCGGGTACCAATCGCTGCGTCTTGTAACGGCGCACACGCTCGTTCTTTCCCCAAGACTCTAGCTCAATTAGGGGCGAAACGGCGATGGGGGTCGTACCAACCTCTCATTCTAGGCCGGGGCGCATATAGAAAACCAATAGGTCCGGCGAGGGTTAAATACAAATGTGCAAATTTACTACGAAAGGAGTGTTTTTATCAAAAAATTGCAAGAAGACATCCCACCTTAAAATTCAATTTTACATCGGAAAAAAGGTGAGCCGAACTGAAATTGCAAATTCGAAAATCTCGGTCATCCCTACTGATCAGGTCACCGGTGACGCGGGACGGCGGCCCGCTCGCGCAACAGCATTACATACACACGGTCACATACAGCAATACATACACACGTTTTTTCATAAACAAACTATTCAACACAAAAAAAAAACGAAACAGAAAGAAAGAGGGACTCGTCTGGTCCGTCAGCAGCGGCGACGGCCGCGGCCGTCGCGACGAGGAAGACCCCGGCGGCAGCGGCGGCGGCCGGACAGCACCAGCGCTCACCGACCGTTACCCGCCCCCGCACCGGCGGCGCCGGGGCACGCGGGCGCGCCTCCGCAGCCGACCCGCTCGTAGCATCGTGGACTGGTAACAGGGGATGGGACTGAATGATGAGGCTGGGGGAAGGATAAAGATGGTCGTAATATCTTTTTATTCGTGAATTGTCTAAGTTCTTAGTTTGATATTGTGATTGAAGAAATGCTAGTGTGTATTTGCCTAGTGCTTGGTAACTCTAATTGTGCATACACTAAATGCTTTACGTTTCCCCATTTCTTGTTGAACTTGTGTGTTGTGTTGGATAACCTAGCTGTGTATAATTCAATTTCGGCCTCCCATCGAAGTTTGTTTTTTAGAGAAGCTATCCTAGGGTTTGTCTCGTTATAACCTGCTTCGTATATTACCATTTTTGCTAGAGTTATGATTATTATTTCTATATCGCCAAGGTTTTCAAGGAAAAACCATGACGTGAGGTTTCCCAGATTCATTGCTAATGGCCTACCAAAAGTTGTTTTAATGGATGACACATACGACTGAATTATCGGGCATTGCCAGTACAGCCCTCTGCAAACTGCGTGGTAGGTATTCTTTCTTCGACAAAACCGAGAATAACGCGGATACTATGCTATCGGTCGCTCGGAAATCATAACAGCAAGATGCGCGAGACTCCGCACCTTAGATTGGCATTACCATCGCGTTCATTTTCCATCCAGTTTGGCAGCAAAACCCAAAAGTTTATATTTGCCCCCAAAACAAACTTTTGCATTTTGTTGCCACACAAAGTATATACTTTGTTTAGTGATATACCCAATCGAAGGAGTAGAGCATGGCGCCTCTATTTTCAGTGAGTTCCGACCGACTGACAACATAGTCTTTGAGTTATTACTGGTTTTGTCGAAAAAAGAATACCTACCACGCAGTCTGCTGAGGACTGTACATATGCAATATGGTTTCGCTTTCTTGTCTACAAAATGTTTATTTGTCATCGTCTTTAATAGATATTTAATAGATATTATTTTTAAATATCTATTTGTTGTTATAATACGATTTATTACCTTGTAGTGAAAGTTTTGCAGTTCACTACATTTTATTCTATTTCATGTTTAATTTCATTTAATTTAACATTTAATTGTCTGTTGATGCCAGCTCAGACCACTGATCCCAAACGTCATAAGTCAGAACTTCTGTAATGTTCTAGAATGTCGCGTCTTCAGTGTTAGGGATTTCTCGCAGGGAGGAGATAAAACTCTGAGGAAGCAGCAATTTGCATGGTCCTTTATCTCGTATCGGTTAGCTCGAGCTCAGTGGCGCGCGAACTTCTTCCAGACTGGGGGGGGGGGGGGGGGGGGGGGGCTGAACCATAATAGAGATCAACCTAGGGTACCCGAAATCTAGTTTTCTCACCGGTTTTAGGCCACTTATTTTTCAGACCTTGGCCTTTTCAACGAAAAAAAAGAAAGAAAATATTTGCAAAAAAAGTGAGATATTCCGTCTCAGCTGAGTGATGAAACTACCGTTTTGGCAACCTGGAATAAAGGTTTTAATCTGCCAAATGAGTTGCCGAGCCAGTGAAAGAGGTGGACATGTTTTCTTCCCTTTGTGACCCACAACCCCTAATTTGGGGAGGACAAGCTGCCCAACGGTTCCTAGCCTCATGAAAAGTTGTGGGGCACCGCCCCCACGGCCGCAGAGTTGTGGGGGCAAGCTTCCCCCACTGTCCCCTTCCCCGGGGCCGGTTCCCGCGCCTATGTACGAATCTATGAAATTATGTTTACGGAGCGAGCGAAGCGAGCGGAGATTTTCCTTAGATTAACGGAAATTTCTGAGTATGAGCGGCCGGCCGGCCGACCGGCCGGCCGGCCGTGCGGACGCTTTTGCGAGGCTTATATCTCAGCAACCACTTGACCGATTTACATGCGGTAATTTTTGTAGGGTAGCTTCATTACTTCTACCAAGTATTAGACTATTCCCGATGCATGTGGGTGACCCCTTATGCACGTGCCACGTACAAAACGAAGGGGTGTCAGTTTTGTAATTGTTGCAATATCTCGGTAACTACTTGGCCGATTGCGCTGAAAGTTGGCATGTAGGTAAGCACCCACTAGGCCATGCATATCCATGTGCCAGAGTTGGGGTGCTGCTGCACGTGCGCACGTGCAGGGGTCGATTCCAGATCTCGAGAACGGCTCGACCGATTGCGCTCAAATTTGGTACACGGTTAGGGAGCAGTTAGTAGGGTGCCGTGCACAAGTCAGTTGGGACCCATTTTGCACGTGCGCACGTGCAGGGTGCCGCTTCTAGATCTCGAGAACGGCTGTGCCGATTGTGCTCAAATTTGGCACATCGCTAGAGACCGGTTAGTAGGGTGCCGTGCACAAGTCAGTTGGAGGTACCCCCTCGAAAGTTCGCACGTGCAAGGCTCACCCTCTCGCTCGCTCCGTTAGTCGCCCCAAAAGGCGTTATACTGGTTCCTTAGATTAACGGAAATTTCTGAGTATGAGCGGCCGGCCGGCCGGCCGGCCGTGCGGATGCTTTTGCGAGGCTTATATCTCAGCAACCACTTGACCGATTTACATGCGGTAATTTTTGTAGGGTAGCTTCATTCCTTCTACCATGTATTGGACTATTCCTAATGCATGTGGGTGACCCCTTATGCACGTGCCACGTGCAAAACGAAGAGGTGTCAGTTTTGTAATTGTTGCAATATCTCGGTAACTACTTGGCCGATTGCGCTGAAGTTGGCATATAGGTAGGCACCCACTAGGCACTGCATATCCATGTGCCAGAGTTGGGGTGCTGCTGCACGTGCGCACGTGCAGGGGTCGTTTCCAGATCTCGAGAACGGCTCGACCGATTGCGCTCAAATTTGGTACACAGTTAGGGACCGGTTAGTAGGGGGCCGTGCACAAGTCAGTTAGGACCCATTTTGCACGTGCGCACGTGCAGGGTGCCGCTTCCAGATCTCGAGAACGGCTGGGCCGATTGTGCCCAAATTTGGCACATCGCTAGAGACCGGTTAGTAGGGTGCCGTGCACAAGTCAGCTGGAGGTACCCCTCGCAATTTCGCACGTGCAAGGCCCACCCTCTCGCTCGCTCCGTTAGTCGCCCCAAAAGGCGTCATACTGGTGGTAGATTTCCGATTTCGATTCCTCCCGCTGGGGGGGGGGGGGGGGGGGGGCTCAAATACATTACGAGCCCCCCAGCCGAAAAGTTGGAGGGGCTCAGCCCCCGCTCATCCCCCCCCCCCCCCGGTTCCCGCGCTACTGCTCGAGCTTGTTTCTTTATCTCGAATTTCGCATAGACCGAGGTCAGTTTATTCACGTGACCTCGCGTGGAGAATGATCAACGAAAAAGGATTGATGATGACATGATGGGTTATGAAATATTGAGAAAAAATATTTCATCAGCATCTCTGCTTCATCTCCAACATGTGTTTCCTCAACACCTGTCCATCTTTTTTTTCACAAGTCACTTTGACTTGTTGTATGCACGGCCACGTCACTCGATAACCGGCCGTTTCGGGTCCTCCACTAGGGGTATACGGCCCCCGGACTGTCCGTTTGAGTGGGTGGGTGGTCTGTCCCACCGGGACACTGGCGTCCCACCGGGTGGTCCCCGCCACTGCGACGCACCGTCGGTGGTCCGCCAGCCCAATGTCTCCCCATTCCCTCTTCCCTGAATGATCTGGAACCGAACGAGCCTGCCCACCAAACTAAGCAAGCACAGTTGTGACCGTGCTTACTTTGATATCAAGCCTGTGCTGACCTCTCGCAGCCTCAGTGTTGAACTATTTTCTCTCACAGCGGGGTGCAGATACACTGCAGGGAAGGGTGTTTGCTGGTTCAGACGGACAGGGGTCACCTTGGCGGCCCCGGCGGCAGCGGCCGGACGCTCTATCTGCACTGTTCCGGCCCCAGCCGGATTCTGGTGCAAGCCTGATGAGCTGCCTTTTCGTTTTCACTGTATTTGGTAACATCTGAATAGTTACTCACAAGCAAACCTATGTATGTATTAGCTAATAATATTTGTTCGGGGAGCGGATTATGACATTGTTTATGGTAGACTGAAAAAAACGTAAAAAACACGTTGCATTTAATAGCCGTTAACCAAACCTTAACTTTAGCCAGTGCTGCCCAATTGCATTGACGGCGCTTGGTAAGATTGAGGCCCTCGAATGGCTCGTATTGGGTACTGGTAAAGGCAGAATGACTGAACCCTCTGAGTGAGTAATCCTGAGCACATCTCCAGACGGACAACTCGACAGACGGACAAACAAACAAACGGACGAACGGACGGACGGACGTTTCTTACCCTCAGAAGAGTCGTGAAAGACAAAGTTTGCTGGCAGTGAGGGCGTCTTGACGAGCGCCGCCCGCCTTCTCTGGTTGTTGCACTGTTCCTCCACCTGTTCCACACAGAAAAGTCATAATCTTACACTCTGGTATAGTTTTACAAATACCGGCAAATAGATAGGTTATGATTTAACGTTATGACATAGTTCCACAAACAGGTAAACCAAACGTTCAGGTGAAGCCTCTTAAAATGTAGGCCGAGTATCTTCTTCGCGAAACCAAGTTGCAATAAGATGGTGCAACATGCAGGGGAGGCTTATCCCGAGCGCCCATAGCCCATGGGCAAGTTTGGTATGTAACAACTTGCCACAATAAGTTGCATGTATGTACAGTCTGTCTTAAAGTTAAAAGTACCGCGCAACAGTGCGGTGGATCAATCAAGCCTGACCGAGGAAAGGCCTGCTATAATTTGAAAGTCACCGAACCAATTGACCTGGGGAATGGACGAGGACGTCAATTGCTTCGGTGACTCAAATTTAGCAGGCCCTTCCTCGGTCAGGCTTGATGGATCCACCGTTACTTTGCGCGGTACTTTTAAGACAGACTGTACATATGTATGTATGTATGTATGTATGTATGTATGTATGTATGTATGTATGTATGTATGTATGTATTGACATAAAAAGCCTTCCACATTTGGCGTGGCGATTACGGCTTTGTGGTACTAACTGACCAGACACAATGCCTATTAGGTATGCAATTGCATTACATACACATTATATTTCGTTGCCGATTTTTTTCCTTGTGTGCGTACAGTGACATAGAGTGATCCCCTTTTGTTACATATAACCACCGAATACTCCAGGATTTTATGGAAAAAAGATGTTAGGTGTGGTTGGATAATGAATAAGCTCCTTACCAGCTTCTGAACCTGTTTGATATTGTCCAGCTGCTGCTCCCTCTCCATCTGTCGCTCCAGCTCCAGCTCCATATCCACGTCATCCTCCATCTGAGGTCAGGTCAGGTCAGAGGTCAGTTCAGAGGTCAGGTCAGAGGTCAGGTCAGGTCAGTTCAGGTCAAAGGTCAGGTCAGAGGTCAGGCCAGGTCAGAGATCACATCTACGGTAAGTCTACTGACTTATACGGCACACACTGCACAGGTAACAAACAGCATTGCGACAAAATTGATCGAAGTATAATGTTAAGCACTTAAAACCCGCGCCTGACGCCTGTAGCCTGTTTGCACTTTGTTGTAGTTTGTTTGTAGGGTGTTTGTGACAATGCAACAGCCCACATGTTTGTGACGCTCGCAGGTTTGTCCTTGAGTCATCAATCATTACCCATACTTATGGATTGTTGTGCTTTTGAGCACCTATGCGGGCTCAATTTCGCACGTTTGTAGCCTTCTGAAGGTTTGTCGTTTGACAGTTACAACCAATACAGTTGTGACTTCTGTTTGCGACTTTTTGCATATGTATAACCTGTTTGTGACAATCAACCTATATGCGATTCAATTGTCTGTCTGTGATCTATGTGTTACATCTCGCCTATTTGTGAGATGTAACACCTCATCTGTCTGTAACCTGTTTCTAAAACCTTATTTGGTTGTGCTCTGTTCGTGACACCTCACCTGTTTCTGACCTGTTTGTGAGTTGTGACATCTCATTTGTGTGTGACCTGTTTGTGGCACCTTACCTGTTTGTGTAGTGCTTATAATCTGTTTGTAACACTTCATCTGTTTGTGACCTGTTTGTGACACCTCACCTCTTTGTGACACCTCACATGTTTGTGACATGTTTGTAACACTTCACCTGTTTGTGGCTGTCCTCCAGATGTTTCATCAGCACCGCGACCACCACGTTCACGAGCACAAACTGAGCCATCAGCACGAACACGACGAAGAAGATGGGTGCTATCACGGGCGAGACGCAGCAGTTCTTGATGCAGTCCGCTGGTGACAGAGAGCGAGCCAGGGTCACTTAGAGAGTCGATGCGGGCTGCATAGTGATTTGATGAACACGGCGAAGAAACATGGTCGTGTCGACATATGTTTAGTAGATGGATATCATTTTAGGGAATTATGGTCTTAACTCTCTTGGATGACGGTATTTAACGCATTTAACGTATGATTGATGAAACCCTCATCTTCACCGACGATACATGCGTAACGCTTGTAAATGGACAAGCACATTATCTCTTATATCCTATCCGACTCACCCACCCTGTTTGTTTTTATCAACAACATCAATTAGAGATTGCGAAAAAATCGTCATCGTGAAATGTACAGAGACCCTGCAGCCTCCGATGAAATACATTTTGCTAAATGAATTCGTTTCTTGGGACTCCAATCATCAACTGCCACCACAATTCTTGTTCCGTAT